GATGGGAGCAGAACGCCTCTTTAGAATTGGTGTGCAGACATCTTTCTGTCAGTTTTTCCAACAGCTGCGGAGGCCAGGGGTCACAGGAAAAACTATCCACGCCGAAAGGCCAAGCTCCAATGGCTGGAAGACATCCGGAAAGCCAGGCCAGGCCCCATGCCAGCCCTTCTCTTTTCTTTTCCTTTTTCTCTGAGACAATTTGAATCTTTTCAGTTATTTTTAAAAAGGAGAAAAATCAAACAGCAACAGCAAGCAGCATTCCGGGTGTCCTGTGCCAAGCCAGCAGTGGTTAGGTGCTTGATTGAGCACAGTGCATATCTATAATTCAGCCCGAGAATATTTCCCTTAATAATTAATAGAGTGCCACAAAGGAGGAAGCCCAATAGGGCCCTCTAACAAAGCTGTTGGCCAGGGACAACATTGGCTGCCCTGGTGCCAACTGACCCGCCCAAGGTTGGATTTGCTCTAGCGGTTCTGGCTTGCCTAGCCACTGTTTGCTTGTCCATCAGAGGCAGCGGGAGAGATGCCCAGGACTTACCTGGTCACCACCTGGGCTTCTGACGTGCATGCGTGGTGTGTGTGAATTCCGGCTCCTCACACTAACCTTCGTTTTCATGAATATGTGTTAAATGAATGCATCCATCCACCTTCAGGGACGTTTCAAGTGCCAGTTACCTAACAGTAATCACCTGGTGAGCCTACCCATGCTGTGGTGGGGAACGTTGAAGGGGGTGAGCTCGCCTTCCCATGGTGAGTACCTTTTGGTTTTGAAGGGGTGATGCTACAGAATCACTACCACTGAAACCTTCCAGAAGCCAAAGTCCGGCCGAGTCGCATTTCATTTTGCAACAACACGCTTGGTAGGGGCTCCTCCCTTATTCCCCAAGCTCTTAGGTTACGCCTGGACTTGCAGTCTGTCCGCTGCCCTCTGTCTCCCACCCAGTTTACGCCTGATGCCAGTCTCTGCAACTCTCCCTCACTGAGGGTCCAATACGTGTTTGAGTCAGCCTCTACAGCTCTGGAGACCAGACCCTGGGACCCTGGATTGCAGGCTGGCAAACCTGGGTGCACAAGGTAGGGCAGAGCGGGGGGAGGGGGAGGGCCGGGGCACTCTGGAGGGCTCTGGGAGAATTCCTAAGGGCTTCCTAGCCAGAGAAGTGTGGGGGTCCCCAACTCCACGAACCGCCCTGGGGCTTCTCATTTTGGAGACTGGAACCTCCTCTCTGGCTCTCCTTCCCAACTTCGCCGGGGGCTCCCACGTTGCCATCGAGACCAGCACTCCAGCTCTAACAAGGATGCTTCTCCCTCCAGGATTGGTCCCTCGCCTCTGGGGCGCCAGGGCTTGTTTCGTGTGGCTCCCTAGAACGTAGGAGGAGGCGGGGAGCGTCGGCGGCGTGACCGAGCCGGCCTGGCCACGCGGGGAGGCGCCCCTTGGCGACCGCTGTGCTCGCCACACCCTCGGCCCGGCCCTGGCCCCGCCCCCGGCCGGCGCGCGTTCGCGGCCCGGGGAGGCGTGTGCTGCTTCTGCAGCCAGCTGGAGGGAGAGAAGGATGGATATTGGCGGAGGAATTCAGGCTTAACAAGTGATCGCTGCTGTCTAGGATTTTGTCTCTTTTTTGCGGGGAACCTTTGACGTGCTTGCTCAGTCGGGCCCTCTCGTGCAGAACTCCCGAGGAAGCAGGCAGACGTCTTGGGGGGGGGGGTCTTTCTTAAGGCAGTCTGATCCCCAGCTCCTCCGGCTCCCAGCGGCGAGGACTCTGCCCCCCAGCCAGGCAGCAGAACTTGCTCCGTGGATCTTGTGGAGCCTCTACCTGCCCAACCCGGAGTGATCTCTCCTACCCCAACTGCATTGTCCCCTCCTCCAGCTGTTGCAGCTTGAGGGGAGGAAAAACCAAACCAACTGGGAGGCTTGTGCTTATCTTTTTTTTTCTTTTTTTAATTTCACCTCGCCTAGGGAAGGTAAGTATGATACCTTTCTTATCTTTCCTCCACCCTGCTCTTTTGGCTGTTAAGAAACAGTGGACATTTGGGAGAGAAATAATATCGGGGATATGACAGAAGGGCATGAATGGAAGACGGTTAAAAATAAACCAGGAGGTGGGAGAAGGGGGGTGCAGATGCTGCGCGGCGCTCCGGGGGGCCAACAGTTGTTATTTTCCCAACCCGGAGGATGGGGTGCGTGCGCCCTCCTTAATGCGCCCGAGCGGGAAGCTAGGTGTGGAGGCGAGGGCACGATTAAAAATGTCGTTCCTCAGCCCAACGCGGTGGGGTTCAGGTTTAGCATCCTTGTGCCTTCCATTCCTCAGGGAACAGCTGGTGAACGGGTCTGAACTGCTGCCTCTCCCAACATTTGGTTTTGCGTGCATTTTCTGAGCATTTAAACAACATATAAATGGCGTGCATTGAAATGTGTATTTCTCACGGTGTTGGCCTTTCGGGTTCATATTCTCTCTCCCTCCCTCCGTCTTGCCCTCGGAGACCAGGTTCAGGTACCACCCCAAGTCAGTTGCAGGAAGGAATTAGCACCAAGAGATGAAAACAACCCTTGTTGGCGGAGGTGGCTTGGGGGGAGGAGAGGCAGGCTGCTTGGCTGCTGTTTGGGGCCACAGGGATTGGGGGAAGAGGTAGTCTGCAAAATCCTATTAGTTTAATGGTGATAAGGGAGGAAGGGAAATTTCCCTTGCAAAGGTCTTCCCCCTAAAGGCTCCAGGGAGCCAGCTTGAGTAGATTCTTCTAACATACCTCCAGAAAGAAGAAGAAGAAAAAAAAAATTAAACCTGTCTGATTTGCAGAGTAGAAGGATTTCCCCCCCCTTCTTTTGCATTTATTTATCTATTTAGTTAAGATTAAGGATAATGAGGTAACGGGTGTCAGATCTGCTTTTTGTGGGTTGAGGGTGGGGGTGGGGTGGGGAGAGAGTCAGATAAACAAAAACTAGTGAAGCTAATGAAACAAACCAAGCCAACAGATCAACTAATGGGAGATTGTTTGGTGTGGAGCAGGGCGATAGTTCTAGCTAGGATCTTTACAGTTGACGGTAATTTAGAAGACCCCAAATTTATGACTTTCTCGGAGTCAGTTGAAAATGGTATCAGCGTATACATGTACAACAACATAGTTGCTTTGGTTACCCGGGGGTGGGGTGGAGGGGTGGTATTTAAAGAGTGTTTTCTCATTGCTTTTTCGAAGTTAGGTAAAGGATTGACCAATCTCTGGTTATTTGGCATAGGAAAGTCTTTAAAGGATGTTGACCGAAAGATTCAATGTGAACGTAACCCTAGAATGAATCTATAGGTAGCAGTTTGGAGATCTCTTGAGGGTAAATATGTCAGCTTCTGAAGAGAAAACAAGAATGAGGCCAAAGAAAGGGATGTCTTATATGAGATCTCTTCAGGGGTGTAGTTTCTGGATTTTGCATACCGATGGTGCTCCTCCTTTCACTGTGTTTTTTTGAAGTGTGGATGGGCTCTTTCCCCCCTCCCTTCCCAGTTCCCTATTTGTCACTTCAGTAACATCCACTGTTTAGGTTTCTAGGCTGACAAGCTTCAGCAAGGAGCAGCAGGTGGTCAAGAGCTGAATCCTGTTAATGACTTCAGAAAACCAGTTCTCTGGTGCTGTCCAAGTGCTTCCAGTAATAGAAATTTGTAGAAACCATCTTCCTCTCAAATTTTCTGGGCCATTCTGCATTTGTGGAAGTCCTGGTGCACAGAAGAAATAGCCAAAGCAAAAAGAGATAGGAGATTGGAGCAGCAGTTTTGCTAGCTGTGTCCCAGCTAGATGAATTAGCAGGACTTTACCAGAGTGGTGAAGCAAAGCCAGTCTTGGCAGGTATCAGTGGTAACTAATCAAGGCTCCTAGGAAACTGCTGGACTGGGAAGCAGAAGATTAGAATTTAAAGTGGATATTGAGGGAGAGAAAGACAGAATGTTGAGAGGTGGGAGTGTGGATTGAAATCCAAAGAGGAAAGCATGATAGGCTGAGAACACAGTTCACACAAACTGGTATTTGAAGAAAAAAAATAATAATGAGATCGTTCCTTTTGAGAAGAGTGTAGGAGGAACCATGGAGGTGAGCAAGCAGGAACTGAAGAGAGAGAAATTGACTTTGAGCAATGTGGAAACTGGGATTAGCTCCTAGATTGTGGGTGGTAGGGAGTGTTCAGGAGTTCTGGGGAATGGAAAAACAACAAGGATGTGTTTTAGAGAATCAGGGACTGCCATTGGTGGGTCTTAAAATGTACCAGATCTCTTCATCTTCTGACTTCAGGCAGTGGTGGCGTGAGGTCATAAACGTGTAGGGATAGGCTGCTCTGGTGTTACTGATGACTTCCAACATTTATTTTCTTCTGTCAATACCTTTTATGTCAGTTAGTTCTTCCAAGAGTGAGAAGGAGTAAATGGCATTATTTTCTATACATTCTAGATGGGGTGGTAAAGACTTGTTCAAGTGTCTAGATCCTAGAGGAGAGAAATTCACTGCCTTTGGTTTCTTAAATCCTGATTCAAGACAGGGAGAAGTGGAAAGACACTGTACTGAGAAATAATTTGTGAGTGAAGATTTGGGAAAACAACAACAACCCATAATGCTTAAGACTGAAGGGGGGAAAAAAAAAAGAATGGCAGAGCAGCTCTAAAGTAACAGCTTTGTTATTGTGATACAAAAAGAATGACTGAGAAGGAAGACTTGGCATTGATGCAAGAGGTTTCAAGTGAGAGCCATGTGGGTCGGAGAGTGTGGAGAGGGAAAGAAGAAGTTGCCATGAAAATAGACTGAGCTCAAATCATAATAATTTTAAAAGGCTGTGTAGAGAGAGGGGAAGGTTAAGGAGAGTCCGCCCCCCAAATTCCTGGGAAATACAGAGTCCGTTGGAGTTTTGTATGATTAACTTGAGTACAAGAGAAGGAAGTTTATATGGAAAAAAAAATCCATTTGCTCTTTATGATGTTACTCCTCTTTTTATTTCTCTCCCATGCTTATTTCCCTTCCTTTTACAGGTGAAGTGCTTCTACCACATGGTTTTAGCCGAAGGAGGCTCTGCATTTCTTTCATTTCTATGGAGACGTCAGAGCTGGTTTTGCCCCTGATGACACTTCTTCCAACTTCTCCACCTCCCAGGGTCCTTGCCTCTCTCAGTATCTTGGCATTGGCCATGGGTTCAGGGAGCTTTTGATGAACTTAAGGGGAGAACCTGGATGGTCCTGATAGTCTTTCTGCAGCGATGGCTGGACACACTTCAAGCCACCTCTTAACATGGCTCAAGCAATCTCTGGAAGGCAAGTGCTAAGACTAAAGGCATATTTGTCTTTCATTTAAGTCTGATGGACTGAGCTTTGGACAATTTCCAGGGCAGAAAAAGGTATCTCATTTTCTAGGTACAAGTTCTGGCTGTCAGATCCTCTCGGCTTTGGAGTCAGACAGTTATCACCATCCATCACATGCTAGCCAAATTCCTAAATTTGACCATCTATCCCCCCCAAACATAGGTGTTTTGGAGAGACACCCACCTTTTGTGACTTCACCGTGGGAGTGCTAGGATGTTTATCTAGACTTGCCAAGTTCTGGAGAGCAATGTTGAAGCCCTGAGAATTGAGAGCATGGGGCTTACTGATTTAAAAACAGAAAATGCAAAATTGGACTGAAAATATCCTTCGTCTTCCAAGCAATCTGCTGAAGGGTTCCAAACTTACCTTCCTTTGGTGAAGAGCAAAGAAACTGCCCTATTTTCCTCCCCCCCACCCCTTTCTACAAGTGGAAGCAGCCATTTCCCCAGACCACCACCATGGAGGTTGCAATGGTGAGTGCGGAGAGCTCAGGGTGCAACAGTCACATGCCTTATGGTTATGCTGCCCAGGCCCGGGCCCGGGAGCGGGAGCGCCTGGCTCACTCCCGGGCCGCTGCAGCAGCGGCTGTGGCAGCGGCCACCGCTGCGGTCGAAGGCGGTGGGGGTTCCGGAGGGGGCTCCCACCACCACCACCAGTCCCGGGGGGCCTGCACCTCTCACGACCCTCCGAGCGGCCGGGGCAGCCGGAGGAGGAGACGCCATCGGCCGGAGAAGAAGAAGGCCCACCACCGCCAGAGCACCTTCCCGCACTGCACCGACCTGATGCCCAGTGGCTCCGAGGAAAAGATCCTGAGAGAGCTGAGCGAGGAGGAGGAAGACGAGGAGGAGGAGGAGGACGAGGAAGAGGAGGGAAGGTTTTACTACAGCGAAGATGATCATGGAGACGAATGCTCCTACACAGACCTGCTGCCCCAGGATGAGGGTGGAGGAGGCTACAGTTCTGTCCGCTACAGTGACTGCTGCGAGCGCGTGGTCATCAACGTGTCCGGCTTGCGCTTTGAGACCCAGATGAAAACGCTGGCCCAGTTTCCAGAGACTTTGTTGGGGGATCCTGAGAAGAGGACTCAGTACTTTGACCCTCTGCGTAACGAGTACTTCTTCGACAGGAATCGGCCCAGCTTCGATGCCATCTTGTATTATTACCAGTCAGGAGGCCGCCTAAAGAGACCAGTCAATGTCCCTTTTGACATCTTCACGGAGGAGGTGAAGTTCTACCAGCTGGGCGAGGAGGCCCTGCTCAAGTTCAGGGAGGACGAGGGCTTCGTGCGGGAGGAGGAGGACAGGGCGCTGCCGGAGAATGAATTTAAAAAGCAGATTTGGCTCCTCTTTGAGTATCCGGAGAGCTCCAGTCCAGCCAGGGGCATAGCCATCGTGTCGGTCCTGGTCATCTTGATCTCCATTGTCATCTTTTGCCTGGAAACCTTGCCTGAGTTTCGGGACGACAGGGATCCCATCATGGCCCTGGGTGCTGGGGGTCACAGTGGGCTGTTGAATGACACCTCGACACCCCACCTGGAGAACTCAGGGCACACGATCTTCAACGACCCCTTCTTCATTGTGGAGACAGTCTGTATCGTGTGGTTTTCCTTTGAGTTCGTGGTCCGCTGCTTTGCTTGTCCCAGTCAAGCACTCTTCTTCAAAAACATCATGAACATCATTGACATCGTCTCCATTTTGCCTTACTTCATCACGCTGGGCACTGATCTGGCCCAGCAGCAGGGGGGTGGCAATGGGCAGCAGCAGCAGGCCATGTCCTTTGCCATCCTCAGGATCATCCGTCTGGTCCGAGTATTCAGGATCTTCAAACTCTCCCGGCACTCCAAGGGCCTGCAGATCCTGGGCCACACCCTCAGAGCCAGCATGCGGGAGCTGGGCCTTCTCATCTTCTTCCTTTTCATCGGGGTCATCCTGTTTTCCAGTGCAGTGTATTTTGCCGAAGCGGATGAACCTACTACCCATTTCCAAAGTATCCCAGATGCATTCTGGTGGGCTGTTGTGACCATGACCACCGTGGGCTATGGGGACATGAAGCCCATCACTGTGGGGGGCAAGATAGTGGGGTCCCTGTGTGCCATTGCAGGTGTCTTAACCATTGCTTTGCCAGTGCCAGTGATTGTCTCTAACTTTAACTATTTCTACCACAGAGAGACAGAAAACGAGGAACAGACACAGCTGACACAGAACGCAGTCAGTTGCCCATACCTCCCTTCCAATTTGCTGAAGAAATTTCGCAGCTCCACTTCTTCTTCCCTGGGGGACAAGTCAGAGTATCTAGAGATGGAAGAAGGAGTGAAGGAGTCTCTGTGTGCAAAGGAGGAGAAGTGTCAGGGAAAGGGGGATGACAGTGAGACCGATAAAAACAACTCTTCTAATGTGAAGGCTGTGGAGACGGATGTGTGAATCTCTTTCTCCACTTGACACTCCCCTCCTCCCCCAGCATCTCCAAATATATTTATGCATAGAGAGTGCAGTTATGAAAATGAAATATGCAAATGAGTCCAATGCATACAGTAGTACGCCATTTAATGGTTATACATGACATAATTGTTGCTAATCTTGTATTACATATCAAATAAATGATACATCTTGGAGAAGAGGGAGGCTTAAAATAGGAGCAAATCTATCTTTATATTTTTTATTAGAATGCAAAAATTTTGCACATTTACTGGAAAAGATGTTAACAGTAAAGGTGGTTTTATGGAGAGAGTTTGTGTGCGTGCGTGTGTGTGGGGGTTGTGTGTGTGTAGTGTGTGAATAAATTGTCAACGTTGTCAGTAACTGTGCAGTGATGGGAAAAGTTGGCATTTTGAAGTATTTACTATGTAAGAATTAATGAATTTGAACAGTCACTTATCAGTGCTTTAATAGCATCTCATATGTCTTTGGATTCAATAGTAACTGTTTTTTAAAAAATTGTAAGAATTACTGTGTAGAAAAAAAAGAGAAAGTAAATTATTTAATAGAATATAGGTCACAATTTTATCTTGGATTTAATTAAAGTTTATTTTTAACTGGAAATTAACTTTTAAAAAGGCTGCAGGGGCCTTTAGAAATCGATTATATTTTATTATTAATTTGGGGAAGATATGACAGTAAATGCTTAACATTATTGAAGAAATGAAATCAGAGATGTCACATGTTTTGTTTGCATCTAACAAGACTGGAATGCTTTCCCCCCCCTTTGCACTATTTTATATGCTGGGGATTGAGAGAGACTTCATACTGTGAATGTTTACTAATGTAACGGTTCAATGACAATCATTGGAAGAATGATTTCTTAGTCTTATTTTATTGTTCTCTTCTTTTCTTGTGTGAGATTATGGCTGCGCAAATAACAACACATGATCCTCTCCTCTTTTAAAATCTAAATAACTGATCTGCCAAGGGACTATGGAGGAAAATTTAGCAACTGAATCTTTTGAAATTGGTCTGTTACAATGAAGCTTCTGAAACCGTACTATTTTAAAATATTCTTCTACATTTTCAATCCAGAATAATTTAACCAAAGTTAATGCATGCACTGAAAGAATTCTTGAAGAATAAGATACCCAGCAGCTACAGTGATTATGGCTTAAGATCTTTCTATTAAACGTGCAACATAAACACTAGATTTATTAAGTTTATTTCTTTGTGCAGCTACACAAGAGCAGAAGGTGGGGACTCATCTCAGAATGCAGCTTTCTGTTTGCTCAAATGGATGTAAAAACCATGTCAAAACATTTGTCAGCATCATCACCATCACTATCATCGTTTTTAAACAAAAGTGTTTCTGATACATGCAACTGCACTTAACTCCCCACAAAGTGTTCTAGAATATAAGGTAACAGATATAATGAGATGTGCGTAATTAAGTTATAATGAGAGAGAGGTATGAAAACTCAGGATGTAAAAGACCTTACTCCCCAGTGGTTTCTTTAATTTCCATTCTTTACAAAAATTGTTGTGCTGAGCTTTGGCAAAAATACTACACAGACAATCTCAGCACATAATGAAGTCTGACAAGTGTGAACTAAAAAAAAAAAAAGAAAAACAAAACAAAACCCAAACCAAAAAAAAACCAAGCAACAACACACACAAACACACACACACACACACACACACTCAAACAAACACAACAAACAAAAAAACCCCATACCTTAAAATCAAAACAAAAGCTTAGAATAGCTTATCTCGAGCTTTTTAAACCCGGGTTATCCTTAGGCAATGACATAAATCTTGCTTTTCGTTTAGGAACCTCGGTGGTACAGTGGGTTAAACATGGGCAATTGATTGAAAATCCATTGTGCATTCTGTAGAGAAAGTTCTAGCAGTCAGCAAAGACTCCGAATTCCTGGGGGGCAATTCTACTCTTTTCTAAAGGGTCGCTGATTGTGATTAAGGATTCCACTTGACAGTAGTAGAGACTAGGTTACATCTCTCCCTTAATTTGTAATACAAAGTCAAGTCAAGTTTAAAAAGCAAAGTTACATCTTTCTCCCCAGAGAAACACTTCTCTGAAGCATCCTTTGAAGGATAGAAGATAGCAAGCAAGGAAGTTAACTGAATGCACAGACCAAAGATCTGTTAGTGATAAATGATAAAAGGAAGTAAATAATAAAATAAGGAAGTGATTCCTGCTATGGCTTCAAAGATTGGGTATTAAGGTCTTTTGGAATCAGAACAAGCACTTTGGAAGCATTAAAATAGGAGTAAGACTGGGACACCATGTATTTGGAAAAGTTACTTCATGTGTTGGTGCCCAGATTACATCATGGTGTTGTCATGGAAGAAAAAATGAGAATTTTGGGGAAACTGCTGAATTTCATATTAGTGCCTGCTATTATTTCTACATTTTTATTCAACCTTGGGAAGAAAATGTGATTGAGAGCACTAAGAGCTACATCTACTTTTTTGAAGAATATTGTAAAATGTGTAGTAATTGGATTTTTGCTTTTTGTAAGGAGTTGCTTGCAGTCAAGACAAGTCTATTATTGAATAATTGCTGCAATTTCTTCTTTAGGGAAGATCTCAGGATGCTGTGGTTATAAAAGAAGAGTTGACTCTTTGGACAGGGCGCCATCTTTCACATGTAATATTCAACTAGGTTACATTTTATCTTAAAATAGCTTAAAGTGTTGTCAATATGGAATATCTCTTGAATGTTAGATAGTAGTTATGATTTGACTAGGAAGGAAAATGTTCTGCATTTGTTTCTTGATACCTCCTTTTCAAATTTGAAACATCAGACTTAATTGATGAGAATTTAGGAATTCTAATAGTTTGAGAACCATGACTTTTCCTATTGTCTTACGTAGTTTTCTCAAGGTGAAAGGGTCAAGAGCAAGTCATGGGCTTCTAAATCAAGTATCCTTAGGTTGTCACTTGTTTTCAGTACGTCTAACTCTTCCTTAAAGGAGCCCTAGTTGCACAGCAGTTAAGAGCTTGGGTGTTAATAAAAAGAGCAGCAATTCCAACCCTTCAGCTCTGCTCTAGGGAAGAAAGCTGTTCTAGTCTGTCCTGTCGAGTCACTTTGCATTAGAATGGAGCAACAAGTTTCTATTTTTGCCTTTAGGTCTTGGCTCCTTATTGAAAAGGGTACATGGAGCCTTAAAATGTGTGCATGGGGCACTTATGTATGTAATAGATCTCTTTGAGTAGATCAGGTCAGGATCTCCAGTGCAGCTGTGAATTTATATAATCTACCTAAATAAACATTAGACAAAATGCTTCTGTTTCATTGCAGTCACAGTAAGGAACCACTGGTAAAACTTTCACAGAGAGAAATAGGCTTCCAGACTATTTGTAACTCATTTAAAAACCTGTCTTCTAGTCCACAATACACATTTCAGTTGTAAGATGAAAAATAATTGACTCACTCCACTTAGAGGTTTAGGATCCTTTAATTAGTTGCTTTTCACATGATAATAAATGTTACCAAAGCTGAATACTTGAGGGTCATCCTAATCAGAATCTTTTCAAGAGTGGATGCATTGTTCTTTCTTGCAAATGTTTGAAAAAGTAACAATCGTGCCTAATAGTTACAGAGAAGGGAGGAGGGTGAGTAGGAATAAAAATTGCTTTTGATTTTTTTTTTTTTTTTTGTGAAAGGATGCTGGTGGTGCTATAGGCCTGACTAGGATTCAAAACAGTCTGCATGTTGACCTTGGGCAAATCATTTCATATTGATTCTCAGTTGTGTTTTACATGTAAAAGCAGGGCTACATTGTTACTTGATTTCTTTCATTGCTAAGAAGTACATTAAAACTTAACAAAGCGAGACCCTGTGGAAGGCAAGAACCTCTCAGGAGAGACAAATGCAAACATCTTCCACTAACAAAGAGCAGTAGAAAAGTTGTAAGATTACATCTTGTCAAAGACAAGACGTGGAGAAACAAGGCTGTCTCGTTAAGTTCCAAGTCTGACAGGTTTCATTTTATTAGACTAATTTATCTTCTCAATGCATCCCTCTGGTCACAGCAATTTTGATTTTGTTGTTAAGTAATCAGAGCAAGATCACTTAAAAATCTGCTTCTACGTTAGCTGCAGAACCGGGCGTTTGAGATGTTAGCAAAACAGAATTACTAGGATATATTTTCAAGCTATTTATACTAATGACTTTTAAAAGGGAAGGGATTTGCTTATTTGAAAATAGCTCCCCAGTCTCCAGTTGAGTACATATGGTCAAAGTTGGTAAGTAAACATTTTGATTTCTTGCTTTGTTACAGGGCAGGCTTGTGGGTAAACAGAGTATGCAGACCTATGCTGGAGAACTCATTTTATGCCTAGGCACATACATGTGACAGTTCCCAAGTGCTGTTGCTGTCCTTGTCGAAATTATTTTAAACAGGATCACAGGATCGCTGAAGCTTTGTGAAAATCTTTGTGATTAAGCGTGTGTTGATCCGAAGTCCAACATGTGATTAAGAAATAGCTCAGGAAAATACACTGAGAAATCTGATGTGTATTTTTACAATTCTTTTCAAAATCTTCATAAGCCAAAAGAGAAAAGGCTATTAATCACATTGGGACAGTAAACACATTGGAATTGCTCCCTACCTTTCAGCAGAATCAGAAATGGTGTTTTCCACTCTGCTATAAATTTTCTGGCTTTTGATGCACTAATGTTGCAGTTATTACTTGGCAAAATAGGATATCCACCTCAATTCCATTTCCATTTTTCAGTGAACATGTGATAATATGCTCCCTGCACCGTGTAGAATGTAACATCCCTCTTTATATGTTTTGTTTTTATTGATACAGCTTAGAATGATTACGGGGTCTCACTCAGTGACACAGGGGCCTGTTCCAGGAAATCTTCCTGACCAAAAGTCATTCTGAGCTCTGCAAGGGACAGTTGGTGTGGACAAAAGGTACCTCTTGGTTTTCCTGAAAAGAAACTTAAGTCAAAGCACTGAGTCTTCTGTATCTATGTCAATTTGTACAGATTAAAAAACCAGTCCTACTTTCTAATATGGAAATCAGTATTCCTCTTTGAAAGAAGGCTGATGGAGTGGTGGTGCTGGGAAGCAGAGCTATTTTTGCATTGAATGGGAATGTGTACTTTTGAAATGTAAATTAAGATTAGGACTATGATAGGACTATGAGATGATATTTCCTCCTGAGCTTTCTGTTTCCATAGCAGTCTCAGTTTTAGAGGATCTTCTTTAAAAAGTATGCTCAGATTTATCAGACCATAAGACCCCAATAAGAGGTTCATAAGCTATGATTACTTTATTTACAGTAAATAACTTCATCCCAGGGTACAAATTAGGTGTGGGGTGCAAGGGGTGGGGGAGGGAGTAGCACATATTGAATGAATTGTAGCTCTAAGTGAGACTCCAGCATCTCCCATTCAGGTATATGGGTTATATATGTAATTTATCACTATCTATATATCTACATACATATCTGCTGGCCTAGTGGTAAGAGCCGTTTTGTAATCCCAAAGGCACACAGTTTGACTTCACGAGCTTCTCTGTGGGAGAAAGATGGACAATCACTTCTTGTGTAATTTAGTACCTCTGAAAATACTCTGGAGGATCAGCTATGAGTCAGTTCCAACTCGAAGGCACACAATCACAGCTCTATATGCAAGTAGGATTAGAATAGATATATACCAGATTAGATATACTGACCATACAAGGCAAGTAATGTACTAAATTCACAGTTTTGCTATCATCCTGAACAGCATGTTTGCAAATTCACTAGTCCCAAGTTCTTGGTGTTTCAGGCCTGCCATTGAGTTTTTTTTATCCACTTGTTTATAATGCTATACTGGGAGAATAACTTGAATCTGGCAGACCAGGAATGGGATGCTTTTGCTCCACAATCAACTCCTGCTTCCTGGCTTGCATATTATCTGTTTTGTAGATTAGTATTTTGTTGGGTACCATCAAGTCAGAACTGGACCGTCCAGCAGGTTTTCAGA